AGCAGCAGGGAAGTCGCTGTGAGCTGGGCGGCGCGGAGCGGTTCTGTAGCTGGTTTATGGGCTCAGGCTCTCTGAGGGCCTCAGGCAGACGGGGTCCTGGCACCCAGGCTGCTCCCACGTCTCCCGCACACAGGGCTGCCCCTGAGGCCTGGGAGGCCAAGGGACCCTCATCTCCGTCACAGGCCCCGGAAACAGGCGGGAGGAAAGCCCTGGTGTGGGAGGGCGACCCAGAGGCCTGGCTCATGCTGCAGCAGGAGGGCCTCCGGTGGGAGATGAGAACGGACTTCCAGCCTGAGGAGTATATTGTATAAGAACAGAGGGTAACTGTGATGGAAAAATAAAATCATAGAAGAACGGAATAGGTGGCCAAGAGAAAGTGTGGCATTAGCTTTTCTTAACAAGAGGGAAAAACATAGGGCTCTGCCCCGTGATGTACCGTCCCTTTCCACAACGTTGGAGAGAAAGCCGGGCCTTGAGTCAGCACCTGCTTATTCCTACAACTTCTCAGTCCTGTGGACGATGACTGAGGAGATAAACCATGCAGGAAACATCTAGAAAAGAAAAAGAAAAGAAAAAGAAAGAAAAAAAGAAAAGAAAAGAAAAGAAAAGAAAAGAAAAAAAAAGAGGGAAAAAACAGCCCCAAGAACAGCACATTTTTTCATTTTCCAGGGATGGTTTTGAAATGTCTCCAGAGGAGAGAGAGGTGTGGACAAGATGTCCCCTCAGAATCCCTAACCTCAAGCCTTCGTATCAGCCCCCCCCCCCCGCCCCCGCCCCCGCCCCATGTCTGCACGGACTGGGGCTTCATGTTTCTCTTCGGGAGGTGGGGGCGAAGCTGGCACAGGCCGAGGCACAGGGTCAGTCACCAGGCTCCAACCCCAGGGGCCACCTGGCTCACCCCTCCCTCCTGCTCCTGCAGCCCCTTCACCGCCCGCAGCGCAGCAGGCAGGTCCCACATCTCTCAGCGACAGAGCCGGGCTCGTCTCCTGAATGTTCCCGATAATCACCAGCCTGATGATAGGTCGCATTTGTGCTGCTCTTAATCCTCACCCCAGGGTGTTTCCATTGAGTTTTAGGGAGAGCGGAGAGAGAGGGAGAGACAGAGAGAGACATCGATGTGAGAGAGACACATGGATTGGTTGCACCTGCACACACCCCAACCAGGGCCTGGGCCGGGGAGGAGCATGTGTGTGTGCGCGCGCGTGTGTGCATGCATGTATGCATGCGTGCGTGTGTGTGCACATGTGTGCATGCATGTGTGTGCGCGCACACAGGCCTCCTTAGGAAGAGCTGCCAATAGGAGACCTTTGCACTTCCCTCCAGCTCCGCACGCTGCCAAGGACGCCCTAGATGTCCCTCGCTGTCTGCCCTGGAAAGGACTGCTTCCCTGGGCGAGTGTGTGGATGGAGAAGCCACTCTCTCCCCAGCCTCTGCCTGCTGCTGCCGCCCCGCCTCTGGGCCCTGAGGAGGCTCCTGGGGACTTGGCAGGGGGAGCGGTGGGGGGGCTGCGGTGCGCGGACTGAGAAGGACCTTCTAGTCTTGGGTCAGATGGTCCTTCTCTCCCTGGCACCCTGGGGAATCACCAACCTCTGGGCTCCCCTACAGCTCCTGGCCGTTTCCTCTTTACACGGAAAGCTCAAGTGTGAAGTGAGGAGACTTTCTGCCCAGGTTCCCCAAACAGCTGCTCGCCTGAGTGGCCGACCTGAGGGTGGGGCAGGCGTCAGTCCCTCTCCCGCACAGACCGACCGGACAAGGGAGCCAGAGAGGAAGGGACGGCTGACCCAGCCCCGCCCCGGTCTGCAGCTCCCCTCTCCCTCCCCCCTCCCACACCTCTGAGGAGGACAAGGGCCACCTCAGGCATCTGCTCCACTGTCATCTGAGCTGCGGGTGGGCAGGGCTGGTGCCTTGAGAGGCTGGTGCAGGATAAGAGAAGGGAGAGAGAGAGTTCTCTCAGGGGCCAGGGTCTCACCCTCCACAGAAGGGGAGTGAGTGGCCCAGCCCTGCCCTGTCTCCACAAGGACCTGGCCCCCCTCGGGCGGGCACTGCCTCTGGAGCGAGACCCGCCCACTTTCCAGGGCTGGACTCCCCTCCCTCCTGCCACTCTCATCTCCCTGCTTCTCTCTCTCTCTCTCTCTCTCTCTCTCTCTCTCTCTGTCTGTCTGTCTCTCATCTCCAGTTCCCCGTGCTGGTCCCCAGTCTCCCCACCACCACCTTTGGCTACAGAGCCCTAGGAAGACCAGGTTTCCTTTGTCATTTGCTAGGTGTGGGGTCCTGGGGTGGGCAGGCAGGTGAAGGGGCTGCAGGAGCAGGAGGGAGTGGTGGGAAAATCACCACCCCACGCCCTCACCTGCCAAGTGGGGACCTCGTCTCCCTGCAGGGGACTGAGCCGACCGTCTCTGTCCTCTCCTCACTGTGCAGTCAGCTGGGACCAGTGTGGTCAGACGAGTGGGCTCGCTGCAGGGGTGCGTGGGGCTCAATCACCCCTGGGAGCTTGTGGAATGCGTTGGGCATCTCCTTACCAAGCACTCCAGTGAGCCCCATGCAGGGAGCGTGCAGCAGGGGGTGTGGGGGTGATGGAGAGGACAGTGCAGAAATCCAGAAACAGCTCGCTCCCGCCTCTGCCGGGGTGGGAAGGACGGGCAGGGCGGGGCCTTCCCTGGCCCTAGAGCTGTCACTCTCTGAGACCTGCGACTCCCAGACAGGCAGGACGAGAGGGAAAAAGGCTTGTCCTGCCCCGTCCCTTCCAGCCTGGGAATGCTCGCCCTGGGCCCTGGCCGTCTGGGCCTGTGTGGATGGGGAAAGCGCCTCCTCTTCCCAGCTGCCCCCCCAAACCTGTGCCTTGTGGGGATTTCACACAGCACAGAAGGCGCCCTGGGGCACTGGGGCTTTCTAGGTCACCTCTGTTTATAGTTCCTTTAAACCCAGACACAAACCACCTCTTCATTCATGCCCTGCTGGGAGGAGGAATCTGCCTCTTAAAACCCCAAAGAAAGCCATTAACCCAGGCTGGTAACCATGGTGACGCATAATAAGCTCCTCTGTAAGAACTGAGTCACAGTGGCTTTCCAGGAAGTGTGGTTGCTTAATTAGTGACCTCTTTTTTCTCGTCCTGGAAAACATGCAGCAATTTGATGATCACCTAACACGGGTGCTCCAGCCGCGGAGCTGGGCCCCGAGGAGAGACAGCCTCAGCGGGGAAGTGCCAGGCAGCGTGGACGCACGGTCTCCTGGGAGTCCAGGAGCCACACACAAACCTTTACTGAAGGTGAAAGGAGAAAGACCACCCTCCGGGCCGACCCGCTTGGCAGAAATGAAGGGGAGAAGGGCCCCAGCTGGCTGCAGCCCCAAAGCGCCACGCATCACCGGGTCCCAGAACCCCAACAAAGCCATTCAGGTAGCGATGGCCTCAGCCCATGAGCCACGCCCGGTGCTAAGGCCTTTACACGGCCTCCGCCGGCTCTCAGCCAGTCTCGAGGATGTGCACGAGCTGTCCCTTTACCGGACGGGGAGGCTAAATCCACGTATCGATCACCCACCTAAATCCACGTATCGGATCACACACCGGAAGTGCAGAGCTGCGATTCCCACCCGCTCTGTCCAAGCCTAAGCCCACTGCTCCAGGCCACCTCTCCTGCCTCCCTGGAGGCACAGTGGCTGGGCTCAGGTCGCACACTGATTGGCAGTAACCCTGGGATGACGTCAGATTCCGAGTCTCAACCTATGTCTGGATTCTTTCTCCTTCTACTGTCTGTACCCAGCTCCACAGTCCCCGAGAGGAGGCCAGCCTCGCTCAGACTGTCAACACCTCCACCGTCCACCCCCACCCCGGGGAGCGGAGCCCTCCCTCTCCTGGCACCCCCCCCCCGGTTTTTCTCTAGGACAGTGTGTCAGAGCCAGGACTGTGCCCTTCTCCAGCTGGACTGGCTTTAAGGCCTCGTTGGAGTTCCTGAGTTTGGAGAGAACTGTCTTCTCAACTGGGAGGACGGTCTCACCCCACAGAACCTCAGGAAAACACACTCAGCTAGTGAATCACCTGCAAAACGGAGCCACGGGCCGCTCGCCCAGCTCAGCTGTCTCCACACGAAGCCAACGAGCAGCCTCCACGCTGCTGTGCGAACAGACGCTGTTTCAGTACGAAATTGGGGGCAGAAATTGAACCGAGAATGCATCCTGCAGATGCCCCGCCCCCAAGAACCCCGTTATTTTATCCCTTACCCAGTCTTTTAGCTTCAAGAATGGAACTGGACGGTACCTGGAGACCTGCCTGAAGACTGGGAAGGTATTTCACTCAGGGGTCACCAATTCCTTTCCATTTCTAATGTCTGCGTCTCCAATGACCCAGATGAAAGGCTAATTGAAGTCTTGTTGGGATGCTATTAAAGTTATTTGGTGGGGTTACAATTCATACTCATCTTTCTTTAAGTTATTTTTAATTATATGGAGCTTTCAAAGCAAGGCCTGAACTGGAGAGTTAAAAGCAGGCAGGCATGAAACTTTCTTCCCATTCTCCCTGCCTCTTTCTTCTTCACACAGCAAAGGCCTCCCTCTGCGAGTCCTCACACCCACAGCTTCACCTTCTCCAGTTCCTGCCTCTGCACACGGGTCTGGTGGGTCCTTGAGGACCAATGAGAAATCAGGGCGAAGGGGGGAAGGCTCTGGTCTCCATTTGCTGAAGACAGCACCTGCCGGGAACACGCCTGCTGCTTTAGGGGGGTTTCAAGACATGAACCTCCTCCCTAACTTTTTTGTTTTGTTTTTAAGGGTCTGGTCTTCTTCTAGCCAAGTTCTAGAGGTTTGTTCCACTGCAGATCAAGGTGTACGGTTCAAAGGCTGGGTCTTACCCATGTCCCCAGGGAATGCCTTCATTCCCTAGGGCCCACCTTCTGGGTCTGATTGGCTAAAAGACCAAGTGAGAACAGGTACCAGTTGTTGGAAGATTTTCAACAACTCTCTCACACTCTGCTTTCCTGCCCCATCCCCAGAAGAGAAGACCTTCTTACCTGTGTCCACCTGGCTGAGGGCGCCGTGACCATCTGCGGAATCGGCTACGTCCCCGCTCATCTTGACATCTGTAGGGAAAGCACAACTGATTTCAACAACAGGCCACGCTTTTTCTTGCTATGACATATGTGGCTTTAACTAAACAGCAAAAGTGAATGTGTAATTTACAACAACCATCCGACTTTCAGATTCCTGGTTTCTGGACCCACAGCCATTAGAATATCCATAAGCTCCGGGCACACATCTCCTCCATCCACACTTGCCTCCCTCCCCTTCCTCCCAGGCTCCCAGGGGTGGCTCACCTCATATTATTTATGGTCATTCCCTCCCATCACCAAGCTCCGTGGGAAACATGTAACAAGGGGAGGGGTAGAACGGGGGTGGGAGAGAACGCTTGCCATTCTCCATCCTCATTTCCTTTTGGATTTGGGGAATTTATTTTACTTGTTAAAGTTGCATAAGAAGTAGCCATCTTTCCTCCTCCCCCCGTAATAACCCTCTCCTGCAAGGTAAGAGTACCTTGAACTAAGGCATCACCTTGTCACCTCTCTTCTCCGATTCCTGCCTCTGGACCTCAGAGGTCAGCAGCCACTCCCTAGGAATGAAACCCAGCTCCTCCGGAGTCTCCCTGGAGAGCCTGTCCTTCAAGGTCCTTCCCTTCTCTCCTACACGTCCAGAGCGCCCGGGGACACAGGCCCCACAGGTGGGTCTGGACCTTCCAGGAAGAGAAAGCCTAGCAAGGCCCATCTCAGCTCCCTGGGCTGTGGGTTTGCCTCTCTGTCCTGCTCCATTTCAATAAACTAAACATTAACCCCAAAGACAGCTGCCAGCACCTATGAGGCCCCCAAGTGAACTCCAGAGTCAGGAGAGAGAAGGAAAGAGGCACTTCAGCCTCACTCTCTCAACTACGCTCCTTAGTAAACACCCAGAAGAATCTATAATAATAAAAGCGTAATATGCTAATTAGACCGAACGACCTTCCAGACGAAACAGGGCTGTGAAGGAAGCCCAGGTCACGGGTGCCTGCCGGCGGTCGGAGGAAGGAAGGCCTACTCTTGCACGAATTTCGTGCATCAGGCATCTAGTATTTTATACAAATCGCGTGGATCCTCACCCCACCTCTTCTCTGGGGCAGCATTTTAACTCTTTCAAACCAGATCAAGTCTCCATGAGCCAATTTGCATACCTGGCTCGCCAGCCAATCCCAGGTAAGCAGACAGTATTCATTTGCATACCTGGCTCACCAGCCAATCCCAGGTAAGCACACAGTATTCATTTGCATGAGGTCATGAGCAGTTGGCAGTCTGGCCATAATCAGGATACAGGGAAAGGGGGACCACTTCTCCAGGGCAAGTGGGAGCAACCTGCTCATTTGAGGGGCAGGAGCAATAACCTGTGTGGCTCTGGCAGAGATTTACGTTGTAGCCCCTGGGGGTGCAGTGACTACAGGGCAGGAGGGTTGACTTCCCTGCCTAGCCAGACAGAGATGGGGAGTCCAGAGGCTCTCCAGCCCTTAGGACATCCCAGAAGCCAGGGAGACCGCAGCCACGCCCTGCCACCTCTCCCGTGCACTGCACTGAGGAGGGCGTCTCCTGAGCCCGAGTCCTTTCTGCTGCAGTTGGAACTTCTCCGTAGAGTCTGTCCTGCATGAAGTCGCAGGGCACTTGGGCACATCTACAAAGGGCTCTGGGCTGCTTGCCTTGGTGCCAGTGGCAAATTGGGCTCTGTTTCACCCCCAAGCACTGCCCCGGAGCTGGGCCTGGCTTAACAGTGCTCAGCCCTCACCCACCCATAGGGATTCCTTGGCAGCGCTGAGAAAAAGTCAGCGGCTGCTGGGAGGATTGCGGGGAGGCGAGTCCTCCACTTGGTGATTTTTTTAAATATATATCTATTTTTTATTGATTTCAGAGAGGAAGGGAGAGGAAGGGAGAGGAAGGGAGAGGAAGGGAGACTTAGAAACATCAATGATGAGAGAGAATCATTGATTGGCTGCCTCCTGCACGCCCTCACCGGGGATCAAGCCGCAAACCTAAACTTGTGCCCTTGACCCTGGACATGTGCCCTTGACTGTAATCAAACCCGGGACAAATTCAGTCGGCAAGCCGGCACTCTATCCACTGAGCCAAACCAGCCAGGGCCCCTTGGTGACGTTTTAATCTGCTTCAGTAGTGCCTACCATTCAAAGCCTGGGTTTGGGTAGCAGACACACCTGGGTTTAATCCCAGTGCCATCGAAGCAAGTTGGGGGATCCTGGCCACATACCGGAACCTCAGTTTTCTTAACTGAAAAATGGGAACAAAGACACTTCCCAGTTACTGTGAGGAGCAAATACAATAGTGCCTGCAGCCCGCCCTGGCAGAGTGAGCCTGTGACACACCAATGAGCTGAACAGAGGCAGGTTGGGAGGTGAGCCCCCTCTCCTAGTACAGCCACCAGCTTCACTCCCTGTCTCAGCTCTGTGATCATCTGGCCGCTACCTGGGGGACCTTTGGCATTCTCCAAATTCTGATTTCACCTGAAAAATACTCATGTGGACAGGAGTTCAAGATTCAGTAAGGCTGGGCTGACGATCAGAGACCCTGAATCAGCTTATTTCCAACTCCTGACCTTTAAGAAGGGTACTTTTTTTTAAAGCTAAATCATCACTTTATGCCTGTAACCCACCCTGCAGTGTGCCTTTCAATAGGCCAGAGGCCGCCCTCCTTTCCTGGAGCTTAAGAAGCGGTCCTGCTTGTGTGTGGACAGGATGTGAAGGAGTCACAGGCCCCACACTCACATTGTGGCCCAGCACTGGCCCTCTGGGCTGGACCGGACCTGAGCCTGCGTGGAGGGGCAGCCTGAGGTGACCTGGGGAGCTCCTCTCAGTCCCACGGGAGACTCCTCTGCTGAGAACCGGTTCCTGCCGGTAGGAGCTGGGGCCGATGGGTGGAACGAGCTCTCAGGTCTCAGCCTAAACATGGGCCAACACCGAAACTCCCCGGGAAGCCGTCACCTTCTCCTGTCAGACAGCTCGCGGTGAGCGAGCGAGGTGCGGGCGGGCCGGGCTCGCTGCTCTTATCTCAGTTGCAACCAAGCAGGCTCTTTGCCATCACTCCCGCCCCTGGAGGCTCGGCTGCTCTAGGTGAGAGCGCAGATACCAGCAGCGACTTTCAGCCGGCTCTCCGGCACCCCACATGCCCAAGCGGGGGCAGCACGTTGGCGGCTGCCTCGCCCTGTGCCTTGGCGTGACCCAGGAGCAGCCCCTCCTTAGGCATCTGTGACCCAGGATATGTGTGAACCGCAGGAGCCAGGCCCTGGGCCCCCCCCCCACGCCACCCCAGCTGCAGGCTGGTATCCTCCCTGCCTCGGACCTCCGGGGTCCAGCTCCCCCTGACCTCTCACGTGGCACCATGATGGGGCGTGTCCACCAGAGGACATTCAAGGGCCCAGCGTTCCGCTTGGGGTCAGCCAGGGCTCCCTCTTTTCTCTGCAGGAGACTCTCTTCTTCAAGAGAATTCCACTCCCTCGCACGACGGGCCTTCCGACCACAGGGAATCCCCGGCTGTCACTGACCCCTTTTCCAGCCTCAGGGGAGCAGCTTGCAAGGAGAAGGCAGAGAGAGAGACCTGTGGCAGCCGGTGCCCCCCTCTGGCTGCTCCCTGCACCTCTCTCTCCTCTCCTTCCCTGTCTGTCTGCCTAGCTCCCTCTCACCTCCCCTCTGCTTGGTTTTGGCTTGGGAGCTGGGGTGGGGTGTCCCCAGGTCTGGGGACTTCATGCCTGCTCCGTGTTCCTGCTCCCACGTGGGAGCTGCTCTCTGAAGTCCGCATGGCTACGGCCCCAGGCAGACCTGGTCACGGCTTACACCCAGGTTATCAGGGCAAAAGGAGGGCTGACTCCGGGCACAGGGCTGTGGCGCTGTCCGAGGGGCCTGCGCCCGGGCTGTGTGCTCCGGCTCCCGACCTTCCCCTGCTCCACCTGTGCCAGTGAGGCAACGGAGGTGGCCTCAAGAGCCCAGGACTCGCGTTCACAGGGCAGTGCTGCTGGCAAGGGGGCAGCAGGGCAGAGGCTACTGGGAGGGGAATGGGGCCCAGAAGACCAAGTTCCCACCAAGAGGCTCCTGGACCGAGAGCCCTAAAGAGGGACCCAGACTGAGCCACCCCACAGGGGGCCTGCCTCACAGCGCAGCCGCCACCACCGAGGACCCAGAGACGGCCTGGCTGGCACGGCCCACCCCGGAGACCAGCAAAGAGAAGCTGCAAGTGCGGATCCAGGCAGACTCCACAGAAAGCCTCCCCAAGGGGGCCCAGCACACAGAGGGCCCAGCACACAGAGGGGGCGCAGCCTGAGGAGGAGAGATGACTCAGGTGACCCCGGAGGCAGATGGGCCTGCCCCGAGGATCACCTCCTTAGGGGTTCAGGCTCCCCTCTGGGCCTGGAACTCATGGGGTGAGGGGGTGTCTGGGCCTCCTCCAAGACCAAGGCCTGGGGGCGAGGCCCTCTCCTCCCATCCCTGGCTTTCCTGTTCTCTGCTCCATCCTCTCAGCCTGCAGAGGCCAGGAAGCCGGTCCCAGCTGCCCCACTCCCTCCCCCCCCCCCCCCAGCTGGAGGGGGTGAAACCCCCCAGGAAGTCTCTGATCTTGGCCCTAAAGGACTTGCCGCTG